ACAGAAAACAGGGTGTCACCGCTTAGGAGTTCTGACAACTGGGAGGAAAACTGGATTCACAAGTACCCCAAATGGTTCTATTCTTCTTAAACCAGGGCTCGGCCTTCCAAAGGGGCCAATGGGAGCAGGGCATGCTGCCCCATGTGACCTGATGAAGGAGAGGATACTGTGTGTGATCCATTTAAATGGAGGAGGAAGATCTGAGTGGGGAATTCTTTTGAAAATTGCTGAAAAATCAGCTTTTAAGGTCTTTGGATGAAGGAAAATCACTGAATATCCGCTTTTTTAGGTCCATGGATGAAGAAAAGTCGTTGAACAATCAGCTATTTAGGTAAAAAATGTGCCTTTTAGTTCTTTAGATGAAGGAAAATCATTGGATTATCAGCTTTTTAGGTCTTTAAATGAAGAAAGGTCCCGCAAAAACCGCTATTTAGGCCAAAAGGACGTTTTTTAGCTCTTTATATGAAGGAAAAGAATAGAAATATCCACTGGTTAGATGTTTAGATGAAGGAAAGTCAATCATGAGTTTTATTGATTTCTGACCCCCAGATCATCCAAACTCTTTCTTCTTCTCTGCGACAGTGAAGTCTTAATCAGACAATCATCGGGGCTCTGACGGCGGATTAGAGGCTCAGACTGTTTCCCCATTGAAGTTTCCTGTCATTAAGGGAAAGCGGAGCCGGCTAAGTCCCGGAACAAGCAGCCGCTGGCTCCTCGGGCGGCGGGCGGCGGTGCGGCCGCCTGTTTGAGGAGGATTGGGATTTAATTAGCGCCGCCAGCTCCCATCCAGAGGAGTTTACTGCCGTTTGGCTGCCTAATCTGCTGCTGATTGGATCCGTATTTATGGAGCTGCGTCTGTTTCAGCCGCAGGAGGCAAATATTTACAGACCCGGCGCAGAGTTTTCCGCCGTCTTTGTTAGAGCTGAGCGGCGGACCGGCCCCAAGTTTGTGGAGAGCTCAAACTTTTGCCGGGCGGCTCGTTGTGAAAGGCCCCGATCGTCCGAACAGACAACACAACAAGCTGAGAAGCAGGATCTGCCCGACCCTCTGATACCCCACAGACTAGGGTTGTCAAAAGTATCGATACTTAAAAAAGTATCGATACTAAAATGTTGTATCCGGATACGATACTCATTTTTAAAAGTATCAATACCACCGCCCCCCCGCGAGCGCGCGCGACGCTGACCTGCCGTCGCTGCGCCCCTTCTCTCTGATTTATTGTATATGTATTTATTTACGTTGTTTATGATCATTAACAAGACGTTAGTCTTGAACTGCTAGCTGCGGCCAATAGCTAATGATAACATGCTAAAATTAATCAAGTACATATCCAAGTCCGCCCACATGAAGTCGGCCATTTTGATTACGTCACCAATAGGAAGATCCAAGGCAAGAAAATCCTAATGGCTTCATGGCAATATAGACATTAATTTAAAAATAGTGAAATTAATCTTTTAAACACTTAATTAAACTCTATCCATAATATGATGTTAAAATAGTGTATGTTAAATAGGTTTGTACAATAAGTCCAAACAAGTTTAACCAAACAATATTTATTTCTCACAATTATGAAGGGTGGAGGGTTAGGGTCAGGGGCAGGGTTAGGATAAGGATTAGGGTTAGGGTCATTAATACGGTCCACCAGTCACGATAACATGAGTAACTGGTCAGTTTGAAATGAAAGACACTAACCTGTCATAATTCAGTTAAATTTTGGGGACTTTGTTTTTATCCTTGTGGTATCGAAAATGGTATTGAGTATCGAGTATTTTCCTGAGTATCGGTATCGAGTTGAACATTTTAGTATCGTGACAACCCTACCACAGACCCTCTGATACCCCACAAACTCTCTGATACCCTCTGATACCCCACAAACCCTCTTATACCCCACAAACCCCCTGATACCCTCTGATACCCCACAAACCTTCTGATACCCCAAAAACCCTCTGATACCCCACAGATCTTCTGATACCCTCTGATACCCCACAGACCCTCTTATACCCTACAAACCCTCTGATACCCTCTGATACCTTCTGATACCCCACAAACCCCCGATACCCTCTGACACCCCACAAACCCTCTGATACCCCACAGACCTTCTGATACCCCACAGACCCTCTGATACCCAACAGATCTTCTGATACCCTCTGATACCCCAAAAACCCTCTGATACCCCACAAACCCTCTGATACCCCACAGACCTTCTGATACCCCACAAAACTTCTGATACCCTCTGATACCCTACAGACCGTCTGATACCCCACAAACCCTCTGATGCCCCACAAACATTCTTATACCCCACACACCCTCTGATACCCCACAAAGCCTTTGTCACAGGACAGGAGAAGAAACCAGCTTTAAACCTAGCGGCCCCCAACCTTTTATCACTGCGGACCGGGGGGGTTGTTTACACTACGAATATATCATTATTATTATCATTTTATTATATGAGATATATAGATTTATATATAATTATAATATATTACGAATACAATGAGATTTGGGTTAAACAGATGTGCTCCCCCCTCCAGTGGTCTCTCAGAACGGGGGAACCTCACTCTGAGAAACTGTTCCGGGACCGGAGGACGCTCCAAAGGCGTTGAAGGGTCGGGGTCAAAGGTCAGGAGGCCTCTTTAGCCCTGAAGCTGCCTCCTCCCTCTGTGGGTCGGCTCCAGTTCAGACTCCAGACCCGACCCGAGTCCAGTACAGACTCCAGACCCGACCCGGGTCCAGTTCAGACTCTGGTCCCGACCCGGGTACGCCGACTTCAGTTCAGCCCGTGTGGTCGGCAGCAGCCAATGAGGAGCCAGGCCTCCGGCAAATCGCCGCGCTGTGTAAAGACCGTCCTTTCCTCCATCCTCGAGCCGCCTTCCGTCTTTATTATCACCCAACAGAGGAGTAAACAGGACAAATCCAACCTGTCTGCCCCCCCCCCCCACCCGCGGGGCTCAGGCCGTAATGGCGCCGGCTTCAGGAGGGCCCTCCACGCCAAAGCCGGCCGCCTCTCCCACCAAAATTGACTCGGCGTGGAGAGCAGAGCAATCAGCCCGCTGAGCGTTTAGGCCCCGCCGAGCGGCGCTCGGCTGATCTCCGCCTTACAGAAGCTGTCGTTCCATTTTGCCGGCCGCCGCCGGGGGGATTTCTGCAGGCGGCTGTGGGTTTAGCTCACTGAGTCTCAATCTGTTTCCCCGCCGAGCGGCAGCAGCCGAGCCACAAGGACGGGGGAGGAGGAGGGGGGGGAGGCCTGCTTTTGCCTCTTTTTCCTCCTTTTGCCTCATTGTTTCCTCCCATTGCCTCTTGTTTGCCTCCGTTTTGCCCCACTTTGCCCACTTTTCCTCCCCTTTCCTCCCTTTCCCTCTTTTTCCTCCTTTTGCCTAATTTTTTCCTCATTTGCTCCCTTTTCCTTCCCTGTCCTCCCTTTGCCTCTTTTTGCCTCCCTTTGCCTCCTTTTCTGCCTCTTTTTCCTCAAAATTTCCTCCCTTTGCTTCTTTTCCCACATTTGCCTCCCTTTGCCTCCCTGTGCCTCTCTTTGCCTCCTTTTACCTCCCTTTGCCTTCTTTTTGCTTCTTTTCCCTCCCCTTTTCTTCTTTTTGCCTCCCTTTTTTCCTCTCTCTGCCTCCTTACCTCCCTTTGCCTCCTTTTCCTCCCTTTTGCCTCCTTTTTGCCTCTGTTTGCCTCCATTTCCCTCTTTTTCCTCCTTTTTTCCTCATTTCCTCCCATTTCCTTCCCTGTCCTCCCGTTTCCTCTTTTGTCCTCTTTTTCCTCCCTTTTTCCTCCTTTTGCCTTTCTTCCCACCCATTGCCTCCCTGTGCCTTCAATTGCTTCCTTTTGCCTCCTTTTTACCTCCCTTTGCCTCTTGTTTGCCTCCGTTTTGCCCCACTTTGCCTCATTTCCTCCCTTTTCTTCCCCTTTCCTCACTTTGCCACCTTTTACCTCTTTTTGACTCACTTTTTGACTCCCTTTCCCCTTGTTACCTCCCTTTTTCCTCCTTTTGCCTTTTTTTTTTACCTCCCTTTGCCTTCTTTTTGCTTCTTTTGCCTCCCTTTTGCTTCATTTTGCCTCCTTGTTGCCTCTGTTTGCCTCCTTTCCCTCTTTTTCTT